TTCAGGTCTTTAATTAGTCCTCACCAGTTTGTTGGGTTCTAAGAGCGAATTTGAGTCGGAAACTTCGATATGGATGGGAATTTAGGGTCCTCTTTATGGTTTCATTTTCCAACATACGAAAAAATTCGTTTGGAGTCACATACATGAACACATCGATGATTTATATTTAAGACTGGAGGCTTTTAGCCAGCTCTCTCGACCAGCGCTCATCAATTATTCACTCGAAGATTGCATTCGTCGAATACGGTTCTGAGCCATTTTCTCTGCCTAAATTAACGCTTCACAAATATTTTTTTCTTCATTCGAGGTGCATATTTTCATCTATGCAATGTCCGTTGTTATATGTTTCATGTATTATTTTGCTATGCCTTCACTGTTCCTTAGATTTTTGCACTTTCCTTCAGTCCAATTAAGCAGCTAAGCAACCCAAATCATAATTCACGATTCATGAAATCCGACCTGTTTCGATTGTTGTCCATCTCGGAAAAGATCAAATTAGAAGTCGTCGCATGCTTCAATGAGTGTGCGAATCATTTTACTCATTTAATGTCATCGCTAAGAGCTAATGTTCATCACAGAAATGGAATTACTTCTGAAATATTCATATCTAACGTGTTCAGTTGTTCATTGACTCACTTGTTTATTCGTTCATGTGAGGAGTCATCGAATTTATATGAATTTGTCCAATTTTTGCTTACAAATTAGCAATTGAAACTTGTCATGCGCAAGTACTTTTCCACTTCTACAACCTATCAGTTTTGTCATTATTATGCAAAGACCATTTATTAGATCAAAACGACCAACTCAACGAATTCGAAGAAACAACAACCTTCACGTTGAATTTTTCCGTCAGTTTCTCCACAATGATCTTCCATTCAGTTCTATTCAAACTGAAGTGGTTAATATTGTCTTCATTGTACCTCATTTTCACATCATAAGCTGAATTTTATGTCTTGCGTTATCACATATTTTTACTGTTGCTTACATAAATCATACGATGAGCGATTGGTTCGTTTAACGTCTCCTTGAAACACACGATGATGGTCAATAACCTGGAAAGGTTGGCACTGAAACGTTAATTAACAAGAAGTATATTCGTTGATTGTTCAATAATTGATTTTTGCATATCGCAATTTGCAATGTTCAACGATTTTTTGCATTGGAATTTTTTTTGGATGAATTTTTCAACGAATTCATTGCGTCTAGCGAACAATTAAATGCCGTCAGCAGCTGAAATATTTTAAAAGCATGGTGCGTTTACAGACGTTTCATTCACTTCTGTGTGTGCTTTAAACCAGAAAAAAAGAAACTCCTCTGCTTCCGGGAACGTAGATTCATTCCACTAATTCGTTCCTCATTGTTGACGAATCGCATTGCGTTAATGCCAAAAGAACGAGCAATTATTATTCGACTGAAGCGAAGAAAAAGTAAACAAATCTTGAGTTGAGTTGCATTTTATTGTTGTTGGCTGAATGCAATAGGACGATGTGACTTAAATGAATTTGGTGAGGTTTATGTGGCTGGATAATGAATGTGCCTCCGTGGACCATGATGCTCGATCGATTTTTGCATTCAGTTGCGATGCATTTTATAACTATCGGCAAGCGAAGAGCGAAAGCGTTGTATCGAAAGGAGGATATTTTCAACAAAGAAACCTCAACGCTCGTATCCACCATTCAATTGTCTCTTTTGATCCTTTTATTGCACGAAAACTTCTCAATCATGCGAATGTTTCTAAATTCGACAGTATCAAATTGAAATCTATCGGAAGAGTTTAGAATTTCTTGTTCAATGCAGATTTGAGAATTACATTTGATCACTGGCATCGGTCAATGTTCTGTTTTTTCCATTTACGGAACGACTCCAAGTGGCTATTGCTGATGTGACCAGTGATGATAGCGATGCAGGATGCGATAGTCTCACATCGCGTTTCATTTGTTGACTGAATCCCATTGATGTTCAAAGGAATAGGTTCGATGCAAACGATATCTGCTTCGAATGATAATTATATGTTGATTCCAATCGCTTTGTCACCGCCTAATGAAATTTCCTGCTGTTCCAGTCAGCTCTTCGTTTGCTTCGACGAAGCACTATCAGTAATTCTATGTTTTGGTTTGCATTTTGCGTCATTTTTAGAGCTTTGAAAACCGAAGCATATCGTCAGTATCTTTAAATAATGACTGCTTTGCAATTTTCGATACTTTCTTTTTTCTCCTCGCTATTCTTCAAGCACAATGCTCGAAAGTGGACCAGGAATTCATATTTATTCAGCTGAGTTTTTTTCTGTTTCAATGCTGACATAAGACATCTGACTTTCTCCGATGAAGAAAAATCCGTCTGAGAAAAATTAGAGACAATGAAAAAGTTCGTTTTTCTCCGAAATAACACTCAATTCAATATAATCCTTTCTCTTGCTCTCCTCATAAGCGCAATGAGTATACTCCAACAACAATTTCTCTATGCACTCTAATAATAAATAGCTGGTCGTTTGTCAGTGTCTGCATTTTGAAACGTTCGAAATTTACATTTGAATTGCCTTTAGAAGCTTGGATTTGAATTCATTGCCCAAATAATTGTTTCAGTTGGACACAACACTTCATCATCAAGTCGCTTTAGTTAATCCGGTTAATCGAGTTCAAATAATCGCTAACGTGGTCACCGCTATCTTTGTATACAATATAGTTTTCCTCTGAACATAATAAACGCTGAATTGTTGAAGCAAAAGCAAAGAAGATTTTCCGAAGTGACTGATTCTGCTGGCTATTGGCTGAAGAAGAGAATCTGTGTATTTGCATCATTACTCAAGTTAGTTCATCGTGAATGCATGCAACAGTCGGCGAACATCAATTCACTTTCGAAGTCTTCAAGAATCCNCGAGTATTGAAGGAAATGCGAGAAGCATTTCGATGCCAGAATGATTTTTTCAAGATATATGAGGGAATCTGTATATTTGTCTGAATTTTGAAAATGCGAGAAGCATCAAGAAATGAAATTTCCTCCATTCGAAAATGTGCTCTTCAATAGCTTGCAATTGCTGCCACTATGAAACTATGATCAGTTAGGCATAATCGTTTCACTTGAGACTTGTGCGGATTTGAGTCATGAAAACAACGACTTGAGATGGTATCCTTTTTCATTCCGCCTCAGTGCAAGTGTCACTCATTTGCTGCACACTCCTCGTTCGCGACACAATCGAAACGTCTCAAAAAGCACATTTTGTGAGTGTCATCAAAGTGGATTAAATAAATCTGAAGTGAAGTTTCACCCATACGAAAACCTTTAAGTATCCGCAAACGCTTCATAATTTCAGTCTTCATGTTGCTGGCATTCCTAGAAGGCCATCGTTCCATTGTTGGATGCACTAATCCGTTTTAAAGTTTGTTTTGAAGATCTGAGAAATTGGACGGAAAGCGATGAACCATATTTTAGGATGTATTCGCATCACTGTAACTAATTGCTGTCGTATTTTCCGATGTATCGATTATCGAGATCGCGTCGAGCAAAAAGTTGGAAATAGCCACGAAATCCATTTAAATAATCACAAAGCTTTTGCAGGTGGAATTCAGAGTTCATCAGTGAAAAAGAGTTGCGATCCGTGAACTTATTAGAAGGACAACGTGGACAACATAAAAGTTCTGCGTTATTTCTAGAATGTCCTCTCGAGGCTTGTGGTAAATCTGCGAGGGAACCCTGTTGTGACTAATCCGGCCGAAAGACAGGTCGACATGGAAAGTTCTGAGCA